CTGGAGATTCAGCTGAGAAACCCCTCGGGGGGCGATTTTCCCAGCTGCCTTGGGGGTCCCACAGCCAGTGCCCGGTAATTTCAGCAAGACTTGCGGATTCACACCCTGGGGCGGTTTTGCAATGGGGATGTCAGCGAGCACTGGACAACTCGCTCCCCCACCTCGCTGCCTCTGCTTCCTACTCCTCCCCTGGCATTGCCCCGCCCCAAAAGCAACTGGCGTGTACAGCAATGGCTCCATGTGCTGCCCCATATCCGCAGGCACCGACCCCCCAGGCTCCACTGGCCACAGTTCTCCATCACTGATCAATGGGAGCCAGGCTGGGGGGAGCCGCTTTCAAAGCTGCCTCAGCACCCGGCTCCCACTGCATTTAGCTGCAGAGCCCCAGCGGGGGTAGCTCCTGGCCCCAGCGTGAGCCGGGATCAATCGTGGGAGCTGAAGGGTGAAACCACTTGACACGACTCGGTTCAGACTTAACCTATTCAGCTCCCTCTTCCCCCTCAGCCCGGCTCCCCTGCCTGCAGCTCCTCCGGACACTGAATCAAAACCCTCCTCCCGACAGCTCTACTCTGGGATTTGGTTTTAAATCCCTCTCACCATCCCCCCCTCCCGACATCCCTCTCCTCACATCACCTTTCTCTCGGTGCTGCCTCCAGAAGCAGTAACTGGCCAGGGTGATGAGAACAAACAAAAGAGCCAGGATCACACCGAGAGTCACCATCCAGGGGTTCACCCTCGGGAAAAGCAGCTCTGCAAGAGAAAGTGTCATTGACGTGGGAGCAAACAGGCACCCCACGAAGGCAGGGCCCTGCAGCGGGTGTTGCTGGGACAAAGGCTGTGTCTACACTGCAGAGTGTTTCCAGAAAATCTTCACTTACTTCTCCACTTCAACTACTCTCTTTAATAAAAAAAAATCAAACGACCGGGGGAGAGGGGGGGGTTTCCGGCACTTGCAAACCTCTTTCTACGAGGAAGAAGCCTTTTTACAGAACAGCTCTTTCGGACAAAGGCGTGTGTGGAGGGGGAAGAGGGAGTTCTTTCGGAATAAGAGGAAAGAGGAAAAAGCACGAGTGCCCTGTTGACCACTCCGCCCATAGCAATCACAGTTAACATGTGGGAGAGCGTCCGTTCAGTGTGAACACTCTGTCGAAAAAGCAGATTGCGCTTTGGCAGCATGGTCGCTCGCTTTCTGAAGTTTTTTCAGAAGATCTCTTCTAGAAAAGCTTCTTCCGAAAGAAGCCAGCAGTCTAGACACAGCCTCAGTGTTAGCCAAGTTATTTGTCAGATAACAATAAATAAAACTGGGACTTTTTTGAGTCATTCAAAAATTGAGACATTCCTTGGTAAGTTTTTTGTTTCTGCTTATTATGGGCCTGAACTTTCCTTGCTGGTATTTTCAGATGGCATCTAAGTAACAATGCTCAGAGCCAATCGGCGGGGCGGCTCTGCTCACCCCACCCTACTCTAAGTGGCTAGTCTATAGGGACAGTTAGCACAAACTCAAATGTCTGCCCTGGAATTTAAAGAGCTCTCCACCCGCACCCAGCAAGCCTGGTGTAAGTCACCAGACTATGAATTACGGTGCAAAGGGAACTCCGGTTGCTCAGAAGTTCTCAAGAAGTTCTCCGCACCTCGATGGCTTGGGCCAAGAAACAGGACACACAAGGATAAATACTCGGCCAGCATCAGTTAGCACAAACTCAAATGTCTGCCCTGGAATTTAAAGAGCTCTCCACCCGCACCCAGCAAGCCTGGTGTAAGTCACCAGACTATGAATTACGGTGCAAAGGGAACTCCGGTTGCTCAGAAGTTCTCAAGAAGTTCTCCGCACCTCGATGGCTTGGGCCAAGAAACAGGACACACAAGGATAAATACTCGGCCAGCATCTCCAGCATCTTTGTCTAACTCC